GTACATTGAGAGTTATTGGTTGCTCTTGTACAAACTGGCCTCAAATAAATCCCTCCCTAAAGTAGTTTCAATGTAAGTGATAGATACACACAGAAATCATATTCTGTGTGTATCTTCCACAGTTAGTCTTTTTTTGTATGGTATTTCCAGCATCACTTACATTGAAACTGCTTTCAGAGGGGATCTCTTGAGGGCCAGTGTTAACATGAGGAACCATTACAGCTAACTTTCAATGTGACTATTGCTTTGAGACTGACTTGACTTGATACCAAAAAATGTGAACACATCCTTTAAGATCCATAGTAAATTGAATCACAGAGAAACTGATCTGCTCACCTAATCCATATGAAGACAGAGAGAAGAAGTATGAAGACCAGAACAACAGCACTGACTGATAGAACAACTGGAAATTTCAATGAACCTGGAAAACAACAATCAAGCACAAACACTGGAAAAGTTAGAGGAATGTTTGGGTCCAATAGTGAAGATAACTGGACACAAATTATGGTTTAAGTTATTTTGGGATCGGTTTTGTCAAAATTAAAAAAATAATCTGAACTAAAGTAAGGTGAGCTTCTGTAACCCAAGGTCAGCTCAAAGATGTGTGAGGACCCCTTGAAATGTAGTATAACCTTACCTGCCACAACAATCAGATGTAAGGTGGAGTCCTCTTCTGTTCTGGGCTTCACAGTAATAATTCCCACTGTGTTCAGCTCTGAAGTCAGTGATGGTGAAGTTCTGTCCTGATGCTTTTGGTGAGTCTTCATTCTCCTTGTACCAGGTGTATTTAGCTGCTGGGTTAGCATCACTGCTGCAGGTCAGAGTCACTGAACTGCCCTCCACTATCTCAGCAGAGGGACTCACTGACACAGAGGGAAGCTTTGGAGCATCTGGGAGAGAATGTGCATAGAAATAAAACAGGTTTTAGGCAAACAAATTTGTTGTTTTGAGTGCCACCTACTGGGAAGGTCACCAAAGAGAAACATTAACACATAAACAGTATATGTCATAATTTATTTGGTTCCTTATCTACTAATGCTCCACTTGATAATCTGCAACATGGTAGGGGAGAAACTGTGTAGTGACCAACTAACATTTAGTGAAAATACAATATTAACATATATAGAACATTTACTACGTCAGGATGGACAAGAGAGGCATTAGCATGGTGAATTTCTCCTCCACTAAAGCTGTAAGCTTTGTAAAAAGGAAAATATCAACAGATAAACTAGAACAGAAAACGTGTCTATATTTCACATGACACATCTCTAAATTAAAAATACAGTATATCATAAAAAACATCGACAAATGATGTCATGATTTGGCTTCGCCTCCTCCCCCTCCCTTGTGTCTTCTCAGTTTTTTCCCTCCCTGCTGTTTCTGTCAGTCTGTCTAGTCCTGTCAGTGTATGTGTGTGTGTGGGCGCACCTGTGGCTCATCTACTATCAACTCCTGCAGTTAAATACTCCAGCTCAGCTCCCACTCTTCGCCAGTTTGTCAGTTTACCTCCGGTGTTACTCCCGTCGCTGCTTGCCTGCCCGTCCATTGAGTTACCTGCCCTTTTCCCTCGCCGCCCGCCCGCCCGCCCGCCAGCCAGTCTGTCCGCCCTGACGGCGTTCCAGAACGCCTTCATCGGATTCCCTCTGAGCCTGGAATTCCCCGCATGCTCCCTAACCCTCTGGCCTCCCCTGAACACTTTAATAAATCTTGCCTGTGTTCTTGTTAACCATCTTGTGTCCGCTTCTGAATCAGCAGACACAATCTATTTGGTGGACACAACGGCAGATGCCCCGAGGAGTCAGTTAGCTCTCGCCAGCCAAGGAATCCTCCTGGGGGAACACGACCAATCCATCCGGACTCTCATGAACGCACAAAAAGGTATTCACGAACAGATTGCTCGCCTTTCCCGATCAAGTAACTGCACTGTTGCAATTAGTCTCCTCTACTCAGCCATCTCCCCTAAGACCTGTTCCTCAACCGAATCCTACGCCCCCGACCCTGAGGCCGTGGTTTCCTGCTTCAGTGTGCCATTGTGTTCACCCAACGGCCGCAGACCTTCGCTTCTGATCCTACTAAGGTACTCTATATCCTGGGCCTGTTAAGAGGGAGAACACTAGCCTGGACAGAAGCAGTAAACGTCAATATTCCGATTACAACCCTGTCTTTGCACCAATTCGAGGCAATGCTCTGAGAGGTTATTGATCATCCTGATCACTGTGGTGACTTCTCTGTAGAGCTCAGAACCCTGTCCGCCGACGCGGGCTGGAATGATGCAGCGCTACTGGGTGCATTCAGGAAGGGATTAAATGAAGAGATTAAGGATGAATTAGCGTCACGAGATGACCCTTCCAGTTTGGGGCAAGGGGTGGTGATCGCGCAAGGGATAAGATGCCTGCCTTTGGTGTGAGAGACCTGGGTTCAATCCCTCACTGTGATCATCCACCAATGTGTCTGCGTGAGCGGTGGCGGAGGGAGCATGCTAACCGGCCCGCCTCTGATCCTCGGCCACGTCGCCCACTCACCTACACAGCCCCCATGATCCCTGCCACTACCTCTGGGCCGCAGCCAACTTCCATTTCCCTACCTGAGCCCATGTAGTTGACACCGGAGGAACACTCTCGAAGACACAATCAGGGTGCCTCTATTGTGGCAGCAAGGGTCACTTTGTTTCCTCATGCCTGGTTCGGCCAACAGGCCCGGCTCTTCAGTAGGCGTGGGCGTACTGAGGGGCCAGCACCTTAGCCCCATTAACAATCCCCCTCGTCTGCTAATCCCTGCAACTTTGTGCACGCCTTTGATTTCTCTGCCACTCCAAGCCCTCACTGACTCCAGTGCAGAGGGAAATTTTATTAATCGGAGTCTGGCCATTCAGTCTAGTTTCCCTCTGGAACCACTTCCTGAGCCCTGTACTGCCCAGGCACTAGATGGCCACATCCAACACAGCCCATATTGTTGAGTCTACGAAACCCCTTAGACTAGTGTTATCTGGAAATCACCATGAAGAAAATCTCATTTAAAGTCATCTCTGCCCCACAGACCCCTATCATTTTAGGGTTTCCCTGGCTCAAACTACGCAATCCTCATATTGACTGGGCCACCGGCAAGACTCTGGGCTGGAGTTCTCACTGCTTATCCTCCTGTCTGCAATCTGCATTACCCCCAGCAGAGGGTGCTACTCCCCCACTAGACTCTGAGTCACCTGACTTCACTAAAGTCCCCTCTGAATATCATGACCTGAGAAGAGTGTTCAGCAAGGATCTAGCGCTGTCTCTCCCACCTCAAAGACCTTATGACTGTGAGATCAAACTGCTCCCTGCAAACTGCAAGAAAAGATAAATCCCTTCGTCCCTGTATTGACTACCGTGGCCTGAACAACATAACTGTTAAAAACAAATATCCTTTGCCAGTGATCAACTCAGCATTCGAACCCCTGCAGCAAGCCACAGTCTTCTCCAAACTGGATCTTCGCGACGCCTACCACCTGGTGCATATTAAGGAGGGGGACGAATGGAAGACTGCTTTCAACATCCCACTCGGCCACTTTGAGTGCCAGGTAATGCCTTTTGGTTTGACTAATGCGCCTGCAGTATTCCAAAACCTGGTGAACGATGTACTTTGTGACTTCCTGAATCGTTTTGTTTTTGTATACTTGGATGATATATTGATGATTTTTTTCAGACATCCCGTTGAGCACGTTTCCCACGTCTGCCAGGTTCTTCAGCGGCTGCTGGAGAACCGGTTTTATGTCAAGGCAGAGAAGTGTGAATTTCACTCCAATTCCATGAGATTTTCGGGCTATATCATTGGGCGAGGACAGATACAGGCAGACCCAGTCAAGATCTATGTAGTGGTAGAGTTGCCGGTTCCGGTTTCCTGTAAACAGCTACAACAATTTTTTGGGATTCGCTAACTTCTACTACAGGTTTATCAGGGATTACAGTAAGGTCGCCGCCCCTTTAACCAAACTAACCTCCACCAAATCACCTTTCTCCTGGCAGCCTGAGGCCCAGGTTACCTTTGTCAGTTTAAAGTCCCTGTTCACGTCTTCTCCCATCCTAGTGCATCCAGATCCCACCAAGCAGTTTATTGTCGAGGTAGACGCATCAGACAGTGGGGTGGGGGCCGTGTTGTCCCAGCGTTGTGCCTTCTTCTCACGTCGACTAACACCCGCGGAGAGGAATTATGATGTGGGGAATCGAGAATTGGGCTTTGTTTTTTGGTCGCTTCAACATGTCTCTAACCTACAGGCCAGGCTCTAGGAACACTAAACCTGACGCCTTCTCCAGGATGTACCACTCACCCACGGATGCTCCCAGCCCAGACACCATCCTCCCTCCCAGCTGCGTGTTGGCAGCCATTTCCTGGGAGGTTCAGTCAGTCATTAGGGAGGCTCAGAGGGCCCACCCAGATCCAGGTAACGGTCCTGCCAACCCTTTATTTGTGCCTGATCCTGTCCATTCACTGGTCCTGCAGTGGGTCCACAGCTCACGCTTTTCCTGCCACCCTGGGTATCGGAGGACCTTATCCCTGCTCAAGAGAAGTTTCTGATGGCCAACTATGGAGGCAGACACACGGGAGTTTGTGTCAGCCTGCACAGTCTGCGCCCGGGGGAAGTCGTCCACATCGCCCCCCCCCCCCTTTTGAGCTCCGTCCACTATCTGTACCTGGTCGTCCATGGTCTCACCGGCCTACCTCCGTCCCAAGGTAATGACACCATACTCACCATAGTTGACCGCTTTTCCAAGTCTGTCCACTTTGTTGCTCTACCCAAGTTGCCCACAGCACGTGAGACCACTGACCTCCTCGTCCAGCATGTGATCCACCTTCATGGAATTCCCAAAGACATAGTGTCGGACAGAGGCCCACAGTTTGTTTCTAAGTAATGATCCCATAAACCCCTTGTGATGCTACTTTAGTTTCTACAAACCTAACCCGATCAGACCTTCTCATCCACTATCTATAATTCAACACATTGTGATTTGCTGATGTTTTGTACTTACACTGGACATCTATGGATACAGATGTGGAGTTGATCTGGCCATACTCATTCTCAGACTTGCAGTAGTATATACCGCTGTCCTCTAAGCTGATAGAGGTGAAATGATAAATGTCTTCTGGTCCCTGAATCAGTGTTTGGTTCTCCTTGTACCAGGTGTATTTAGCTGCAGGGTTAGCATCACTGCTGCAGGTCAGAGTCACTGAACTGCCCTCCACTATCTCTGCAGAGGGACTCACTGACACAGAGGGAAGCTTTGGAGCATCTGGAGACAAAAGAGAAAACTTATGAATCTTTGTTCACAGGTCTGTTTTAGGCATGGGGTCCCACAACCTCGGAGGAGCAATGTAGTAATAATTCAGTGATTTGATTCATTATTTTGATGTCCCAGTTGTTACTTTGTTATCCGCCTGGTTTAGTAATCCTGCTTCATGAGTAAGGCTGTTGTTGCCTCTACAAAGCTAGCTAGCAGGCTACAACAGTCACTAACAGACTTGTACATGAAACTTGGCCACAGGTTTTCTCTTCACGACCCTTTTCTATGAAGAAACTTGGGGCTTCTTACATGAATAAAAAATAAAAACTGACCTCAAAACTTCTCACATTGTGGGCAAAACATTATTTCTTCAGTTCGTTGCTGGAACCTCACATTTTGGCAAGTACCATTACAATTCACACGGCTTTACTTAGAGGGTAGCTGCATGCAATGTCCATGTGGTTGGTACTGCAGTCTCTATTTATTACTCACTGTTACATTTAGAGCTAAACTGAGGCTTATTGTTTCTCTCTGCTCGCCTGCTTTTCACCGGTCTTGTACCGAGTTGTGCGGGCGCGCGTGCCTCACAACTAACTGTACATGCACGTCGCGGTACTGTTTAAAAGCGATATAATATTCTTTGTGTTCTGTTTAAAATCAGACATTGAGCACCCCAATATCACCAAAATAACACGATCCCTGTTTCATAACGCTGTTGCATGTTTTGACTGTGAGATTGACAGCCGAATCAGGCTCCTCCCATTGAAGCATCGAAAAGCTTCAACTAGGGTCAGCCCTAGTCCATTGCTCTGAATATATGTAATTAGGCATCTGACAGACAGCCAATCGTTACACAGAGATCTGAAACCTAAATTCAACTCAAAAGAGGATGAGAAGTACAGATGAGTAGATGTTTCTGAGACTTGTTCCAACTCCACCTGCTGTTTATGTGTTCCTCCTGCTAATAATGGGTTCAGCCTCTACCCCTACCAAAGATTTAGTAAAATCCTTTTCGTGCAAAAACTGAGCTGTTTGTAGTTTTAAATAAGCTGTTCCACTTACATTTCACATTAATGATGTATTCAGATGTCCTCCTCCCCAGCTGGTTCTCAGCTGCACAGTAATACTCTCCAGAGTCAGAGGACTGGATGGAGCTGAAGACAAGCTGTGGTTCTTCACTGAGCAGAGTTTGGTTCTCCTTGTACCAGGTGTATTTAGCTGCTGGGTTAGCATCAGTGCTGCAGGTCAGAGTCACTGAACTGCCCTCCACTATCTCAGCAGAGGGACTCACTGACACAGAGGGAAGCTTTGGAGCATCTGGAGAAGAGATGAACATGAATTACTTAAATATTAGAATATGTAATCAAGGACGATCCATTAAAACTTCTGTGTTTGTTTATTAGACAGATAGGGAAGGGAAGTCACACATCTGGCTAAAACTAAATTCAAGTATCAGGATGGAAATTTATCTTTGTGCAATTTATGTCCCACCAATAAAATCGACATATTGAGGAAATATTTAGCAATCTCCTCACAGAAATCACCCACTTTCAAGTCCAGGGAAATATAGGGTTTCTATGTGGAGACCTGAATGCAAGAACTGGTACTGAACCGGATATTGTTGACCCACAAGGTAATAATCACGTGTTTGGCCAGACCCCTTAGTAAATCTCCAATTATCACTCACAGAAACAACCTTGATAGTGTGACAAACAGTAGTGGTACAGGGGCTGCTACACCTCTGTCGAGCCTCAAGTCTGTACTTTCTTGACTGTAGGATCAGAGGAGACTCTTTAGGGAGATTTACATACTCTTCTGCTCTTGGGTGTAATGTAGTGGACTATGCAATCACTGACATGGACCCTCCACTTTCAACGCATTTATTGTCAGACAGCAAACAGCACTCTCAGACCACAACCAAATAAATGTGTTTCTGTTTCCATTGCTCCTCTGTAAAAGCTGGGAGCATGTGGGACGACCATGTCAGGTTCTGTGACGTTGATTCCCAGGAACTTGATCTATTCACCGCTCTATTAATAAGAGTAAGACTGAAGGACAGTCAGGAAAGACTAACTGATGGAAGAAAAGAGTGCACTGGGGGTGGAGAGGCTAGTTACCCTTTCCACATGCCCATGCAGAAAAGCCCTCCTTTCATGGACGCCCCAACCAACTACAAGAAAGATACAGAGAAAACAGCCCGGTGGTCCATTGAGAGGCGGGACAAGGTGGATCTCTCTGACAAACTCATGGCCTCCCCTGTCATGAAGCTCTCTGATGGCTTGGTGAAGATAGACCAATGACCAGTTTGCATACTGCCTGAGAAAATAATGTTTCTCATTTACTGATGGATTTGTTTTTCTGGTGCCGAAATTTTTTCGGTGTTGGCGAATTATAAAAAACCCACTTAATATTACCAGTATTTTTTCTTTGTAATACAACTTGACCAGCGGCAGCGATAGCAAGCTTTTTTAATAGCAGGAGAATCCACACAACAGGTGCGTCTCACTCTCTCCTGCAGTGCCGCTGCTTGAGGCGCGTCAAATCTGACATCCAGACTTTTGTCAAACGAGATTAGGCCCATTAAAGTTGAATCTGTCACAGGGCAGCCACAGTCACTCAGACCGTAGACCGTCGGCCTCCCTTCTTGTTTTAACCTGATGGCATGATCTCTGTCATCACGTGCAATTGATTGCATGCATACACACATCAACACAGCGGTCAGTCAGTGCGCGAGTGTGCGTAGAAAAAATGCACAGGAGAACGAGAGAAAGAGAAAAGGCAGAGCTGAGATGGAGAAAAGAGCCCTTAAATGCTGTGAAATTACAGATGGTGTTTAAAGACATTACGTTACGGAAGTTGTGTGTGGCGTTGCTATGACTACAATCTACGTACTATCTCTGGGTACTATCTGTAACGGAAAACGGAGCAGGGCCGAGTAGAGTCGACTCTATCGATTTGCGCTCTGGTAGCATTTTTCGGTGAAGGCAGCATAGATTAGTCAAAAGACGATGCAACTCCGACTCTGTTTGGGCCTGGAAATTCACAATCACAACCTGTAAGTATGCTTTATCGGTTGTGAATTATATTTAAAATAAACACGGCAATGTAACTTCAGACTGTTCAAGTGCGGAGTTGCTGTAAACGTTGGCCAACACAGCTAAAGTTATAGCTATAATGCTAATGTTACACCTGATGTGAAAGCTACTGAGCAAATGTTCAAATTGTTTGGCCAATTTTGATGTAAAATTGAGTTGAAATATGGTGATTTTTGAAGTGCTTTATGGTAAGATTTGGAACAATGATGTTGTGTGGTTGTGGACTTGTGAGTAACTTTTACCATCTGCTAGGTTTCGGTCGCAGTCTGAAGACTTTGATTTGAATCACACTACCTTGTTTCTTACGACCCGCCTTCTCTGCTTCTGATTGGCTAGTAGTCCTTACCTGGGAACTGCGCATGTGCAACTCCCAGCAAAGATTTTGTACAAGTAAGATGCATCACTCTGTAGCTCAAGAGCGGAGCGTACAACACAGGGTGAAAAGAGGAGCTGCAGCAATGTGCAGTATGAGAAAAATAGGGTGTTTTTTGAAAATGAAACCATGTAAACCTGTTCTGGTAAGATTTTGAACCTGAAAATGAGCAGAATACTACGTCTTTAATAGATACATCTTTTCAAAAGAGGAGCTTTACACACAACCTTATCAGAGCGAATGACAATATTAGGATTTCTTACTACTAAGATGTCTGTCGAGTCTGTGAGGAATAAATCTTCAGAAACTTTACTCCATTATAAAGTTTTACAATGAAAAATGAATTATTACGGTATAGAATACTCTAATATGGTTATGTCTGAAATTATAAGAGTATTGTGCATAAGCATGTTTTTTTCCTGACACAGTGGAGTAAACTCACACACTGAAGGAGAGCAGAAATCCTCATGTCCTTTTACAGCACAGGAGATGATGTCTCCAGGATAAAACTGATCTTTATAAGAAGATGTCTCCACCCTTTCCATTTTCTGTCCATTCTTGAACCAGACGTAGGAAGAACGATCAGGTAGAGACAGCTGCTGTGACAAAGCAGCTCTGCCTCAGTATAATTCTTGTAGACTGTTGATCTGATCACCTGCACCTGGAGATCTAAATCTGTGGAGAAAAAACAGAAATATTTGACAAATCTTTTTGTGAAACTGAATCAAACAGACATACACAGAGATTTAAACAACAATAAAAATTGTGACCATCATCCAATCACTTAATCACACAAACATTTTTCCCATTAGGATCACTATTCTGCACATTCACTTGTCATCAGATAGTTTAAATGTGCTGTTACAGTTTGTGTTCATCAGTACCTGTGACAGTCAGAGTTGTACCAGGTAAACTACTCCTCCATTCAAAGGTATATGCTGTGAATTTGAAGTGATACTCAGCTGAGTCGCTCTCTCTCAGGTCAGTGATTCTCAGAGTGGAGCGTCCTCTCTCTGTTTCAAGGACCTGAACACGACCTGCATACTGGGAGTCTTCACTAAGGTCCTCAGGCTGTGAGGGATTCTGCCACTGAAGACTACGTTCAGGTCTGAACCAGAATTTAGATCTGATAGTTTCATAACTGTTGTAAGTACAAGAAATGTCCACTGATGAGCCTTTGAAGGCACAGATGCTTCTGTCAGTGTAAGTCACTCTGTTGCATGAATGACCGTGGCCACCTGAAAATATAATAATAATTTTTATTATTATTACAAAAACTATGGTCTTTACTGCAGTAATTCACAGCTAGTTGTATTGCTGTGGATGGGTTGCTCATCATAAAAGATACATGAAGTCATGGTCAGTGTTGGGCAGTAATGCGTTACTGTAATATTGTTGCTTTTCCCAGTAACTAGTAGTGTAACGGATTACGATTTCCAGTTACTAATCCAAGTAACGCTGCGTTACTGTGTTCCTGAACGCATCGACGTGTTCAAATCAGCTGTTCAGCCAAGAAGCTGAAGGAAAAATGAAGAAAAGGGAGAGAGGCGTTGTCTTACAGCAGTAAGTACTCCCATTATTGTATCAGAATAAGATGCAAAACTTTGTGCGGCCAGCAAAACAATTCTACATCTAATCTATTGAAGCATCAGCTGCACAGCACAGCAACAAGAATATGGAGGACTGATCCTGACAAATTCATAAATAAATAAATGTTCAATAAATAAATAAGCATCCGATTAAATGCACAAAAAAGTAAAGTAATAAATAAATGTAGGTAGTAATTAAATTATACAAGGAGACATAAATGTATATATCTATTTTAATTAGCTTCTTTACTTATTCACCTTTGTAATAATTTCATTATTTATTTATTGTCCGTTATATTCAACTTTATTTATTAATGACTTATTTGTATTTCAATGTTGTTTATGTGTGTGTTTTTTAATATTTTCGTCTGTTTTATTCTTCTGTTGCATTTTCTACCCTATTTATTTTCACCCATGGTATTTATTTCTGCCTGTCCTTTTACATTTCTCTATGCATTCTGCCTCATTATGCAAATGAGGAGGGGCTGTGTTCAAGGGGTCATCTTCTCCTATTGGTGGACCAGTCAGACGGGAGAGCTCTAGGCCTTCTCTGCCTGCACACATCAACAAGCTTGCTCTCACAGTACGATGGCTTCCTTCAGTGCGCTGAGGTGTTTAGCAACTCTGTTTGAAGACACTACCAGCCATGTCTTCCTTCTCTTTTCATTGACACTCTGACCTACAGAGTTTTCAATTCGCGACAGAAATAAATACCATGGGGTAAGGTTAAAATAAATGCAGGCCTGAATCTTGTTTTAATCGCTCTGTATATGGCAGTAAACTGGAGCCTTTTAAATTTCTAGATTTGTAAATGCAGCTTGGCATGAAGAAGTTGTTCAAAAGTCAGGTGTGAAAGTATATAACGAGTAACGGAAATAGTTACTTTTATCACCTGGTAATAAGTAAAGTATTACTTTTTAAGGAGTATAAGTAACTAGTACAATTACAATTTCAGCCCAACACTGGTCATGGTACAGAACATTAGTCACATTAGTAGAGAATTGTGGAGTGAACTCACACACTGATGGAGAAGGAAACCTCAAGTCCTTAAGGGCACATGAATAGCTGTGCAGGATAAAAGTAGTCTGAATAAGAAGATGCTTCCTTAATTTTCTGTCCATTCTTGTACCAGATGTAGGAGGTTTGATCAGGTAGACGACAGTGCTGACTGAGCACTCAGCTGTGACCATGTACAAATGTAAGTCTTGCATGATTGTGAGTTCATCTGCACCTGGAACCTGTATTGTAAAGAAACAAAATTATAATAACTGAACTGTCAATTTCCAAGTATGATAATTGGCACACTGAGATTAACAGTAGATTAAACAGCCAATGTACATGGTTTCCAACACAAATGTTACCTGTGACAGACAAAGTGACTCCAGGTGAACCATAAAGCTTCCACCTGGTTGGTTTGTTATGAACCATGAAACTTGTACTCAGCTGAGTCGCTCTCTCTCAGGTCTGTGATTCTCAGAGTGCAGATGTTGTCAGAACAACTGTACTGCAAACGACCTGCGTACTCTGAGTCTGTTCTCAGATCCACAGGTACATCTCCATTCATCTGAGTAAACCAGAATGTTTCCTCAACTGTAGTATCACGGCATTTATTCTGGATGGGTATGTGTAGGTGCAGCTTATTTCCACTGTTGATCCTTTAAGGCACAGATCTGAGTAGAGGTGTAAGTCACTCCCCAGCCATTCTGAGCCTGTATCACTGTAACACAGAGCACATCAAAACTACAGTCAGACTCAACAACATCAGGAGACAGACTTGTGACAGGCAGATGTGTGAAGGTGGTTGTAGAAAGGTAACCTTGACCAGCTGCAAAAAGCCCAGAATCTAATTCAATGCAGTCGCTGTCACAAAGAGTCTTCATGATTCACCTTTTAAAGCTTGAGACAATTAGACTTAAAACTGGTCAACACTCCGGGTGCTCTGGCTTCCTCCCACCGTCCAAAGACATGCGGACAAGGTTGATTGGCGACCCTAATTGTCCTTAGGTGTGAATGTGAGCGTGACTGGTTGTTTTTCGCAGAGCACCTGTCCATGGTGCACCCGCCTCTCGCCGATGTCAGTGGGATGGCCAGCCCCCCGTGACCCTGTACGGTGACGATGGATGGAGGACTGACTCAACAGACCTTTTCACAGCAGACATTTGGCTTGTCTGTCACAATCCTGGTCTCGATCTCGGTCTGTTATTTGCCTCGTCTGTTTTGAGTTCTGATTCTTGTTTCAAATGTTTATGGCGTTGGCTTTTCCTGTCTTGTGTTAGGGGGTTTGTTCCATGTCTGTGTTTCCTCTGTTCAGCCTTGTTTATGTTTATTTGCATTTTCAACTTAGTTCAGTTTTGGTTCCGTCTCATTCTGTGTTCTGGTTTTAGTTCTTCTGTGGTCAGGTTCTGTGTCAGTTCTTTGTCTTGGTCCTCAGTTTGTGTACTAGTTTCTTCCAGTTTTAAGTCACATATATTTTGTGTTTTGTGTACTCATCCTGGTCCATTGTCGTTCTGGTTTTTGTCCACTTGTCAGTCTTGTCCGTGTCCTCATCTCTTTCAGTTTTTGAGAGTTGTACGTTCAGTGTTGGTACCAAGTTACATTTTTGTCAGAGCGCTTTCTTTCCGCTTTATTTATGCACCAAAGTAAATTGCTTGCAAGTTAAAACCTGCTTGGCAATAAACCCGACTCGGAGCTATTGTTGTAGGTGATAAAGTCTTGCTGTTATCTTGGAGCACTGCAGGCAGCATCTGTTTTGCACAATAGCAACAAGAACGAATCGGCTCAAACTTTTAACAGCGCTCTATGTGCTTGTGACATTCAGGCAGGGTTAAGACTTTGTTCTGTCAGTTTCTCTCTTTAAAAAGACAAGTGCTGCAGTCTGAGAGTCTGAAGAGATGCTATCAAATCTCAATAGTACACGATGCAAGCACCACATACAACATAATATATCAAATTACATCAGACTTTGTGAAAGACACAAAGACACAAAAGTCCGGTTTTCAGAATGAGGTGTTAACACAACGTATATACAAAAGGTGAAAATAAAGAAGACAATTAAACTAGATAGATATATTTATCTCATTGTATTATTAATATTCCCACATTTATTTATTTGCTATTTTTGTGCATTATTGGATGTATATTATTTATTGAGCCTTTATTTCCCTTTATGTCAGAATCTGTCCTCTAGGAGGTTTTCACACAAACTAACAGCAGCCAAACAACTGGGTGTAGCTAAAAGGTAACGTTAGCTCTCTAAGCGTTCGACCAGCCTATAAAAAAGCCACAGTCACGTAACGTCCGTTCTTTATAGGTTCCATATTGACGGATGAAGTAGGATGTGTTGTGGTGGTGATTTTGAGCTGTTATGGAAACCAGACCGCTAACGTTATGTGAAGCGCACATGGTTGCAGGATTAGACGCAAATGTTAGAATGAGCAAAAATCAAGTCAAAGTCGAGTCTTTTGTCTGTTTTAGTCAAGCAAGTCTCAAGTCTTCAAACGTGCATCGACTCGAATCAAGTCATGTGACTTGAGTCCCCCACCTCTGTTACAAAGAGTGCTAACAGAAGCATAAAGTAGTTTTGCTAAGTGTGTTAGGAAACAGTTGCCTGTTTATACACTACGCTGTTTACTTGCTACTTAACAGCTGATTGTTTTCTATATGTTAAATTACTGTCTACTAGTGTACATTATTTTGTTACAATATGTTAGTCTTACAGGACTTCAGTCTGTGTTGTTACTATAGATTTATTCTGTCTGAGTAAGGATTATGTCTCAGGTAAATACTGTATCAGTGAAGAAGTGTGTGCATTCTCTGCACCTGGGAATTTCCTGTAAAATTGTATAAACTTCTTTTTTGTACAAGAATCATTAGAGTAAAAGTTCCGCTGAAGAAACATTCTTTTCACTCTCTGATAGTCTTCCCCATTCTCAGGGTGGAACATTAAGGGGGGTGTCAGGGCTCTGAAAAATAATTTGTGTATCAGATTCAGA